AAATGAGTTCACAGCTCAGTGTGTCCAGCCCAAGACAATGAGACGTGTTGCTGGCTGTCTGTCTTCATTAGACGTCTCAGGTCCCCTCAGCACCCCCACCTAAATTAGCCTTTAAAGGGACGGGCAGATAGCCTTTTGAACTCTGTTTCAGTTTGTCATTGGTTGAAGTCAGGATGTTTCTGTGGGAGAATGAGTGGCAAGATAAAATGGAGCCTGGTTTGAAAAATTCAAATTGGGCTTAGAGCTTTGAATATGGCAGGCATGATAAAAAATTAGAAAGGTGATGTCAGCACCACCTGTCTAAATGATTCTATTCTCTTCATTCTCAAGTTTCCAATAATGGGTCGGTGATGTTCGGTACGCTGTTACATCTGTTTCTGTTCCAAAGCTGATCAACACCGCTGCTTCACTGCTAGTTGTAAGTCCGCATCAGCTTTTGCTTTGTTATTTTTATCAGGCTACAGATGAATTCTTCTGAAATCTTTCAGATGTTTCCAGTGTATTGTTTGAAATCTTCCCTGGAAAATGGCAAGCAGCCAAAAATAGACAACCCATAAAAACAGGGCCATCCTGCAGGACGCAAACACACCCTCATAGCTGAGCACCTTTTTTTTTCTCTCTTTCTTATCGTTATGCTGTTGTAAAATGTGTCACTGTTTCCTGCTTGCCTCGTCTGTCACGGGGAAAACCCTCACAACTCACTGGTACAGGAGTCAGTGTCTGCAGGACCCAAGGCCGCTGTGATATGACCGACAATCTGGCGACACAGAACACACACATGAACTCAGCTTGGCCTCGGCCTTCACTGTGCGGACCTTCAGAAGGCTACATTATCTTTTTCTGCTTTTTCCGAGTAAACTGTTTCTAAAAATATTCAACCCTGCTGAACTTTTTAAGATTTTGTAATGTTAAAACCTCAAACTTCCATGTATTTTGTTGGGTAGGTAGCATATAATTACTTGGATGAAAAATTATTTAAACTTTTCAAAGTTTGCTGTTTTTTTCCCTTAACAGCCTTTTAGGGGCTGCATCAGTTGCAGTTTTCAGGGCAAAAACTCAATGATATCAGCAGAAGAAACTCTGTGAATATGATCCAGTAAACTGTTTTGGACAATATTAACACATTTACTCTTTATATAAAGTTGTTTACTTGTGACATATGAGAAAAAAATGTTGAGACAAATTTTCTTTGTACCATTTTCTGTTTGAAGAGCTGAGATTTGGAAAACACCAATTGTAATTTTCTAGCCTTTCCCCAGTCTCTGAAAAGCCTGCCTTTGGCTTAAACCATTTTTAAAAAAAATATAATGCTAAAGTGGGTTAGCATGGCAGATATGCAGATGTGACCTGGTGGGTGGTTCATCTGTCGTCTCTCAGCAGAGCAAAACGGGACATTATTTTAGACCTTTGCAGTGGCAGATAAGATTGATTTCACATGCAAGTATCGGCTGATTGGCTGGCCGATCAATTAGTGCACACCTACAACCTCATATTGTGATATTTCTCCTGCAAGGCCTTATGGGGTTACCTCTACTGACTTTGCACATGTAGAGGAAAATCGGCTTTGCTCTGCTGTCCTCCAACTCCTGAAGAAAAGCTTGATGCTGCCACCAGCATTTTTCACCATGGTGATGGTGTGTTCAGGGTCTCCATCACACCTGGAGTTGAGTAGAGCTCCATCTGCATGTTTTGACTGTCCCCGACTGGGTATGAACACTTTTTGTGCAGGATTACACGATTTTCCCTTACATGTTGCTACTTTCTTTTTATTCTCTCACTAACTTTGACCTTAAAACCAGCTGGCATGTCATCTTATTATTACTCCATTTAAGCTCTTTTGCAACATTCCCACTCACCCTCTGACACATCGTCTACCCTCCACATTGTTACATCCACTGTGAGACACAAACCATAAGCCACCAACCACAGTTAGTGGTTGGAAACACTAAATGTAAAAAGCAGTCTTATTCATACCACTGTGGATCTCACTTTTTTATAATAAGGAAACCAATCGAAGTTTCCACTGTGGAAAAGAGATGTCATTTCTTGGACTGGGACTGAGGTCTGATGCTTTTGGAGACATCAGCCGTTTTGTGTGTGTGCACAAAATGCTTCTACACTTTATTTGCTTTCTGCTTCACGCCGATTGGCGCTAATGTGGTTTATTGATCATTGGGGTAGAGGTGTTGTTTGCACACAATAGCTGCTGTTTTCAGCTGGAATGACTTTCCAGCCTGGAGATCATTTGCATGCTCATAGCTCTACAGCTTTCACATTTAAATACTTTGACCAAATCTGATCTCCACATGGGGTGAACTTATTTAGCAGCTTAATGAGAATTGGTGCTCTGTCTCTCGATTCATGACTACCTTGTAAGTCAACAGTTTCTAAATAATGCATGAGTCATTGGGTTAAAGTCATCTGCAGATGGGTTTAAGCTAATGTGACCGTTCTGAGAAGCAACATTTTAAATTTGAAACCCCTTTTTGCTGGTAAATTAGTGATTAAATAGACATATGAGCTCAAAAACAAATAGTTTTTAACCTGTTATTGAGGTTATTCAACCATCAGATTCAAGCAAAGTTCTGTTCCACCCTCTCTGCTTTCAAGTGTCTCAAGAACTGAGCTGTTTTCCAAACGTCAACCAATAACGTGTCACGTATAATTGCACTTCGGTACTTCGACTTCATTTGCTGCACTTTCGCAGAAATGCTTGGTGAAGAAGTCCCTGAATAATTTTCCTTCACCTGCAGGATTCTTGTACCATCTATGAAAAGCGTCAATAAATTGTAGCTTTGATGGTTGCTGCATTCAGCTCACTGGATTCTGTGTTGAAGAGAAATTCCACAGATATTTACATCTAATGGCAAGAGGATTTTAGAGGTTGTTGTTGTTGGTGGTGTGTCATTAGAAACCAGCTTTTGACAAGGCAGTTTGGTCACCTGATGAGCGGAATCATTTCCAAATAAACGGAAGTAATTCCATCAATTTTCCTCCTTCAGCTGAACATTCCCAACAGCTACAGTAAACTCTGAAACCTCTCCTTTCCTTCTAAGTTCCCTTAAGTATTTTCCTGCTCATCAGACTCATCTAAACCTAGTTCAGGAATTGCCATCATTACTGAGAGAGAAGTTCTCCTCTTGCGTCATCCAAACTACCAACCACGCTACAGGAAGAGATCTGTTGAGCATTAAGAAATTTCAAACCAGCTTTCTTCATAATCTAATTTATGAATGAGCAAGGTTGGTATTTTGAAGGTCATGTTTGAGCTTCGCTTTGAATCACGTTCATCACTTTGGATCGATGAGGAATTTAGTGCCAACACTTGGGATGTTCATTGAAACTGTGTCAAATATGGACTTTTATTGTGTTGAATTTCTCAGAGAAGAGAAATCAGACTTAATTTCTAACCATGTAGATTACTAGTTTCAGCCCATTAGTATTAAAGAAACCTTAATCTGCCATGTACACTACTTAGTTACTGTGACAAAGTATCTAAGTGTTGTGAAAGATAGTTTTTGCTCTATTTATTTAGAGTTGCTAAACATAGATACTTTACAGTGTAAAGTAAAAATACTTTTTCTCATAATGTTTTCATTTGTATATTACTGCATAATGCAAGTTTAGTCATGTTGCAGCATTTGAAATTCACTTTGAGTCAAAATGTGTTGATTAGATGCTGTGTTCAAACAACTTTCTGCTAGCAAAAGATTCAGTATTGGAGACGTAGAAACTGGGGATGCACTGATGTGAAAATTTGGGCCGATGCAGATATCCAATATCAATATCACCTTTTCAGGCAATAACGAATATTTACTGAATATTTAAAATTGGTTTATAAATGGGACTAGGTATCATTTAATGCCCTTATGGCTACTGGGTGTAAGCTGTTTTTCAGTGTGTTTGTATTGATATTGCACACATTGCAATGATAACTTCAACTGGACAATATTGCGTAGCTTTAGTAAACATGTTTTTCTGTCTCTTGAGGCTCAAATTAAAGCAAACCCACTTCCTGTTTCTTAATGCAGTGGTGATGTGTTTTGCTCTCTGTCTTCTTTCTAATTTGCTGTTGTTCAGGGGGAAAACAATGAGTTCACATTCTGGGGAGGATGGCAGTAAAAAAAAAAAGCCCCATTAACTTGTGTGGATAGATGGGTTGCAGGTGGAGGAGAAGTGGGGGTAGGGAGGAGAAAGCCCCTTCACTGAGTGTGATGTAACTGTAGAGGTAATGTGGTAAATGATAAGAACGGCTGTCCTGGGGGAGGGGAAGTTGTTTTTCTGTAGAAGTAGAGCCAGAAACACGTAGGTGGAGTAAATGGATCGTTCCAATCAGCAACACTTTGAAGTTTTGACATCTGACGTAAATAATCTGAAACTAATCGCTGTTATTTCTAGAAATAAATGGATAGAAACTTTCTCTGTTTGCCTTTGTTGAACTTTAAACAGACATTTCTTGACTTCAAGAAATGCTTTACCCAACATAAACTATTAAAACTGTGTGGAAACCAGTTTATGTCTTTTAAAAATGACACTATCCTTTGTTTAATTATTTAAAGAATCAGTTGCTCACACACACACAGACTCTTCACTTTGTTTTCTCTCCTCTCGACACAGAGACGAACAAAGAAGTGCGATTGTGTCTTTTTTTCTACACAGCGTCGTCATAGAACCCCACTGAGCTTGATGCAAGTCAATGTAAAAAATTGCATCTGTCTCGTCCGTTGTCCCCCCCCCCCCACTGCACCCGTCCACCCTTTTCTCCCTTTCAATGAATTTTCATTTGAATGAAAGCCTTGCCTCAGTGTTTTGTTGTGCTCTGAGGAGGAGGGGAGGTGGGAAGAGGTCTGATTGGTTGAAGTGCTTTTTGAGCCGGGCCAATACAAGAGCAGCTCCCGCCTCCGCGGCTCCCGGCCTGCGGTGTGATTGGGCGCCTGGGAGGAGCCAGACGTAGTATTAAAGCCTCTCTTCCCCCCAGTCTGCTCCACTCCAGAGTTGAAGAGAGTCTGTCAGACAGAGAGCTGTGTGTGTCGGTGTGAAGAGAGAAAGAGAGAGAGAGTGTGTATCTGAGTGTGTGGATGTTTTGGTTATTTTTATTTATTTTTTCTTATTGAGCAACAACCAGAAACTCCATCTGAGTCTGACCCGGACTACTCCTTGTTCTACCTTTCAGGACCGAAGCGACTTGGCTGAGTGGTTGCCTCTGATCACAGCTGGACGGATAAGCTTCAGCAGACGAGCAGGACGTCATAAAGAGGATCAGAGAGGGCTGCCGTGTTACTGCTATCACTACTGGCTCATCTTCGGACATTTGAGTTCTACATTCAGGCTCTGATCCCGATCTCCTGCCTAACTCCCCAAGTGGGTCGCTACCGAGGTGACAGAGGCAGTCCAGACGGTCCTGATGTGGAATTTGACCTCGGCTGACCCAGTCCCACAAGTAGTCTTTGCCTAAGGAAAGAGAACAAGAAAAGGAGGAGGAGAGGAGCAACTAAAGAAAAGCGAGACGCTCAAATCAGTGACTGGTAAGGAAGTTAATGTGGGCTGTGGGCACAAGAGAGGGGGGAGGTGGGATGTTTGACGTAAGAATTCTCCAATAACCTCTGTCTCTGCTTCAGGTCCTGCAGTGATGCCAGTGGAGACGCTGAGGCCCTCAGATGGCCGTCTGGCCGGGGTCGCCTTCACCTCAGGCAGACCCTTCAGAATACTCAACAAGGGTCCCAACTACTTCCGCCCCCCTGCTGAGCCAGGAACCCGCAAGCTGAGTGCTGTGGAGCGCCTGGAGGCCGACAAGGCCAAGTACGTGAAGAGCCAGCAGGTGGCTTTGACTCGGCAGGCGCCCATCCAGGCCCCACTCATCCGGAAGCCACTTGTCCCCCCAGTGATGATGCCCCAGGGCAACATGGGCACTCCGACCGCCCGGAAGATTCCCCGCTGCCCAGCTGATGTAGAGAACCGGGGAGGCGGCGAGGTGCTGGGGGAAAGGAGACCCTTCAATCTGGATATCCTGAGTAATCTAATCAATGATGTATGTGATGGAGCACAGTCATTTTCCTCCACCTCCCCCTCTTCATCGTCTCCATCGTCAGGGGTAAAGAGCATCTGCAGCAGCCTGTCTGCAGAGCAGGACAAGAGCAACAGACTCGTCAACAACCTCAACTCCTCATCCACGTCCTCCTGCACGTCTTCCCTGCTCAGCAATAATCGTTGCGCCCCTGCAGCAGAACTGTCCTGTCGTCCACCCCCTGTCCCAGCACGGGTTTTACGGGGGGTTCAGGCCTCCTATAATGCCCCTAATTCAGTGACTGTCCGCAGGGTGGACGTTCGGCCTCACGCTGAGGTGAAGAAGCCACCAAGAGTTGCACTGCATCCCCACCTGAGGCCCCGACAGATCCCCCAGGGTCAGGTCGCACACTCCCAGCTCCCGCCTCCACCGCTGCCTCCTCAATCACAGAATCAGCCACCAGCCAAGGTCAACACCTCATCCCAAACTTTGCCATCGCCTCCTGCCTACCCACCCCTCAGCCCGATGCTGGTCCGAGCGGGCGTCATCCCGCCAGCCTCCCCAGCCTTCACACGCATCTCCAACGCCAGCTCCAAAGGCTCCTCCCGCAAGCACCCATCTCTGCACCGCTCCAAGTCGGACCTGAGCGACCGCTACTCACGCGCCACTGCTGACCTGGAGCGCTTCTTCAACTACTGTGGGCTGGACCCAGAAGAGGTGGAGGGACTGGGCGGCGTGGAGCGCTTCACCCGGGCCAACTCGGATATTGTGTCCGTCTCCAAGCTCCGCAGCGTCAGCACGCCCAGCTCAGAGTGTGGGGACGACGTGGAGCGGATGAGGGGGTACGGAGGCGGTGACGAGGAGGAGGAGGATGAGGACGGGCCCCTGAGGACAAATGACAGAGTCCCCTATGGGATCTCGGTCATTGAGAGGAACGCACGAGTCATCAAGTGGCTCTACGGCATCCGGCAGGCAAGAGAGGCGAACAGTGGCATCTCGAACGTCTAGACTGATGATGACAGCTTGTTCGTTCTTGTTTCGCTGCCTTATTTCCACGTTTGGGATCAATGTTCCGGATCAATGTTCCGGATCATTTGGTAGTTTGTCTTCAGTTTCCTGTGAGGACTCACTTTTACTGGACAAAAAGACAAACATGACTGAGTTTACGTCAGGGGTTGCATCGATTGCAAATTTCTGGTCGATTAGCAATTTTGGCAAAATACCAAATGTTTTGCTTGAAGAGTTGGTAAATTTAGTGTCAAAGTCACTAAGTTGGCAATAGCGGAGTGACTATTGTTAATATGAAGACGTGACCCTCTTGGCGGGTCTGTCTGTGTACCGTCCCTCACGGTACACAGACAGAACATCAGCAGCCGATATCCAGATCACAAAAGATTGGTTTCACATGCAAGTATTGGCTGATTGGCCGGCTGATCAGTCGGTGCACCCCTTAGTTTCTGTTCTAAAGGCTGCAAGTCAGGACTGCAACTGGACAATGCATTGCTATGTTCTTTTCGTTGATGTCATTGGTATTTCCAAGCAATAACAGATTATTGTCAATGCTGGTGAGAATGAAGGCAGAGGGTGCTATCAGGTTCCTATAGGTACTGTAAGTGTGCGTGTACATGTGTGTGTTTTATACCAGAGTTTGGCAACAGACTGCCAAAGTGTTGCACAGCACAGAGACAATTGAAAGCAGAGCAGCAAGAGAACCACGTTCATACTGTGAAACCTACAAGTAAAGCTTCCACAAATATGTGTGTATTTTTAAAAAGTTACAGAGAAAATGGTTGGCTGTGAGACTGTTCTCATAAATGTTTCTTCAGCATGCAAGTGAACTGTTAGTACACACTTTACCGTAGCACGTCATATCAAAAAGAAAGAAAAAAAAAAAGCAGGAAGCGATCCCCAGGCTTCCAGATTCACAGCACATCCACTTCAGTCACAGGGGAGTTTTTATCTGATCTTTACTTGTTGCCTCCGATGCAGTCTTGGATTACTCTGCATTGGTGCAGCCTGGGAAATCGGTTTACCATGTGCGTCTTGGCACAGGGGGGAAGAGTGAGTCATACGATGAAGGATGATCTCACAAGCAAACGGAGGGCGCTCGGTGATCTGTGGTGCACGAATATGTCCGTGACTCAGGAAGATGGCATAGTAAAACATGGACCAATATTTATTTGGAAAACATAACTTAATGTTTTGTTGTTGTTGTTTTTTTTTGTTCTAAAAGTGGATTTTTGTGTACAGAGATCAGGCTGAGTCACATTTAAATGCACATACAGAGACACATTCAGTGAGTGAACAGAAGGGATGCGATGTGTTGCGAGAGAATCGCATTAAACTTCTTGTTTGTTGCTTCTACTTCTGTTGAACTGTTCAGTCTGGTCGGGTCTTCCTCTTCACATGAGAATCAGCAGCAGCGTGCAGTGGCAATCAGATCAGAGAGCGTCTGAAAACAAAATATGCTTTTTTTTTTTTTCAGGCACTGGATGCCCAAAGAGTCTTTGATAAAGAGGTCCAAAATGCTTTACAGTGTTGTATCCTGAATCCATTAATAAAATATGTTTGAATATTAACTTGTCGTCTTTATATCTGCTTTAAAAAAAAAAAGTCTTTGTGTCACTTCCTCAGGAGGTTATAATGCAAAATCTGTTTTGGGTTCAGCTAAAGTATTCAAACCGTTTGAGGTTTTTTGCTGTGTCATGGTATAGTCACAGACTTCCATACCCAAGTTGGACTTGATAAGTTGGTGAAGTTCAATTAAAACCAGATATAATTTTTTTTTCTTTCTTTCTTTTTTATTTTTTACAATTAAAAGTGTAAAAAGTGTGTCAGGCTTGTGTATTCAAATTGTTCAAATGGTTTCTACAGTCAAGTCTTTTGGGGTTTACAGCTTTGCACAACTAGAGATTGAAATCTTGTAATTTTTCTGTCAACTCAAGCAACATATCTGATAATATATCAGATTTAAATGAAAAGTATCTGTATCAGTATTGGTATCGGTGATGCAGGTCCTGTATTTACTTATCACATCGATTCCAAAATATGAAGTATTTTCATAATCTAGTTCTACCGAGAAGAATTCGCACATAATTTTGTGATTTCTGAAGGTATTTTGTTTAACTTAATTTTATTTAGGAATGCATGAGCGTGAGTAAAAATTCATCCTACTTTTACTTTGCAAAGAAAAAAAGAGAATCCTGCATCCTTTTCCTTTTTTCCCTTCCAAATACGAACGACTTTGTTTCTTTATCACATGAAATAAACTGAAGATTTAACTAAGTGCAATAAAAAAAAGATGAAGGGGCATGAAAACATTTGCAGGGCACTTTTACGTGAAGGCAAGTGTTGCTTTTGGTAATTCGGATCTTTCTGCTGCATCAATAATTGACACCCAGCGCTCAGACTGAGTTTCCCAGGGGAGATTTTCTTCACTTTCCTGCTTTTTGTGGCTGTCTTAAGAGTCCATTATTGTAAAATTCAGAACATTTCTCGCTTTACTGGGGGAGCAGATGAAGGTTTCTCATTTTCACACTAAACCACACCAGTTTTCAGAGCTCTTAAAACTCTTTTTGTGGGGCTGGGGGCTCAACTGCTTCATAAAACACTATTAAAGAAGTGCAGTGTAAAATAAATGGGTGTGAACGGGTTATGTTGGCAGTAAATTCTATTTTTATTTGAAACGTGATGTCAGAAAATATTAAAAATAACAAATATAGACTTGTTTGGATGGAATGGTTTATGTTTATAGCTCAAATGTATGCTTCAGTATGAAACAGTAAAGCAAATTTTATTAAAGATTTCTTTTTTAAAGAAGCGCCAACTCATAAGAAATGTTGCCTGAAGGCACTCCACAAAAACGTTGACTTAATCCAAACATGCAATTTTTTTTACATTTACAATGAATCTTACTTACTAAACAACACAGTTTATTTTTCAAATTGGTTGAAAAGTTTTGCACGTAAGGAAACCCAACAAATGATTTGATTTGTAGCATTCACTCCTGGTGAACAAAAATGTAATAGATAATAACTTGCCTTGACCTATTTTTCACACTCTGATTCCACTTTTGTTAAAATTTATATAATATGTTTTAGCCAGACAATGTTTTGAAATTGTGAGAAAACTAGATAAATAGAGGGGCATGAAGTTTTTTATAAAAATGTTTTATTCAGTCTCTCCAAGATCCTAAATTTCTATAAGGATGATTCAGCTCGCTTTAATAGAAAATGAGTTCTCCCTTACAACGATTTTCCAGAGAACTAAAAACCGAGCCGGCTTGCCAATGAAGACTTTCCTTTTTATTTTCGTTTTCCAGCACGGACTGGATCCAACGCCACATCGGACGAGGCCTTCTCCCTTCTGAGGTGGAGTTTTCAGACATCTGCACTGTCCCCTATTTTGAGCTGGGGACCACTGACAGAAGACCGATTATATTTGTTATTTTTAAAACATTACAAGTTTCAAAGCATTTTCCAAAACGCTGTCTTTCCAGGGCTGTTCAGACGTAATTGGTTTTGCCTCTAAATCGTGCAGCCGAAACAGATGGAGGCGGGCAAAAAATGATCTGAGAAGTACACAGAATTTCTTTCGGAACCTCAATCCCTTTTGCTTGCTACTTCCTGTGGCGGAGGATATGGGTGGCCAAAGGACAAATGTGAACCGATGAAGCTGGGCATCATGACAGCAGCTGTTTGCTGTCCTGAGCAGCCCTCATTAGCAGGCAGAAACACTCAGGGGAAGAATCACAGATCCAACAAGACGACATGCCACAACGGTTCAAGGGCTTGAGGTTCAAACACTAAGCTAGAGGAACTGTAACATAACTCCATAAATGTTTCTCCTCATGGACGAAAGATGGATCAGTTCAATAATGTCCCTGGACCTCGCTGCACTGCTTCACCCACTTCCACAGGACCAAGAGCCACCATGGATTAAAAAAGAAATGTAGGCTTATGTAAGGGTACTATCACTATTATGTAATCATGCATTGTCACAATTCATGGCTGGTTTGAATAGTTGACTTGCAAAACCCTCTCTTTAAGAAGAGACTCGTATTTGCTGCAGAAAGCAGGGATGGATTTGAGACTGATTCTTCTGAAACCAAGACCAAGATCAGACCTTCCCAGACCAGATCTTCCAAAACCGAAACCAGGCCTTCCAAGATCAAGAGCAAGTCCAGACGCTCCAAGACCTTACAAGACCTGACTTTCCAAGACCAAAGCAAATGAGGTGAACTAGCAGTGTTTGTCAACATCTACAGTATCATCCTGTAGATGTTACTGTGGAATATTGTCTCTGCTGTCATAAACGACCATCGTGAGACAATCACAGAGCAACAGTCTTCAGGCAAACTTTTCCAGATTTGTTGCAAGACTGACTGTCACCAGAGATCCATCCTGCCAACAGCGTTATTATCATCCATATGCCTCTTTGAAGAGACTTGAATGATACTAGTTACACATTTAATTTCCTTTTGGGTTATATAAAGTATCTTTGAATTTCTGTCTGACCGTGTGCTGTCTGAATGATGGAAAAGGCCATTTCAAGCTGTTACATCCATAATTCAATATTTAAGATCAAACACCAACGCAGCTTCTGCAGACATGAATCCATGACTAAAACGTCTCGGAAAATAGAAGAGCTTCACACGACCTAATCAGTCTATCTTGCATGTATTGATATGCATATATATTTTTATATATTTTTCCACTCAAAAATCATTAAACAGAGAGAGCACCTTTACTCCTGCTCTGAGGAAGCAGAAGCAAAAAGGGGGAGTTGATGTGTCCTCCAGTCCAACCCTTTCGGACACTTATGTAAGAAACACATCTGACTGAAAAGACAGGATGACGATTTTATTTCCAGCACAGACATTTGGTTCATTATGTAACCCAGAGTAAGCACCTCTGACCCACTGAACAGTATGATGGGAAGATTTGATGTAAAAAAAAAAAAAAAAAAGTCCCACATCGCTTAACCCTTGAAACTTTTGGAAGAGGAACACATGCAGTGGGAGAATGCGATGTCTCCCGCTGATGGCTCCCTGTGGACAGATGATGAGGACGGCCCCCAGCCCAATGAAATCATCTGTGTCATCCTAATGCTCCTTCTCCCAACACAGACCGACCATATGTCAATATTTACCGAGGGATCAGCTGGGTTTTGGCATGCTGCTGGAATACAAACACGCTCATATGTCTGTGAGCCTCCGCTCACTTGCCTGGATGCCATGTCTGTCGTTTTCTGAGCAAAAAGTCCATCACAGGACAGAGAGTGCAGTTCTTCTCCATTGAAAAGTACATACTTGTAGTCTCAGGAGTTTTTTTCTGTTTGAATGAAATTGACTGGATTGAAAGAAAATTGGAAATTTCTGAGTTGGAAAAATTACAAATTTGCTTGAAACAAAAAAAAAATTTGGATCTCAGTCAGAAGCTTTCAGGGAAAAAAACTTTCTGAGTTTGAAAAGTCAGGAGAAACAACTGAGACATTTTGAGATTGATCTCATCATTTTTTTGAAGAAAAAACTTCAAAAGTCTCAGAAATTTTATTTTTAACTTTCTGACTTTTTTCTTGGAAATTGTTTGACTTTTCAAATGTTTGAGTTTTTTTCTACAAAACTTCTGAAATTAATCTATAGATTTCTGAGATTTTTGGCTGAAATTCACTCCCGTTTTCTCTGCCTCCCTTTATTCAGGGTTTGCTCGCGACAGCTGATGCAGGCTGCAGCAGTGGGACAAGTATACTTGACTCCTGTGTGCAGCAGAACTATGTCAGGGCCTGAATGGCCACGGAGCAGGGAGTGATAAGCTGATTAAAGCGTCAGGGCAGATGGGATCTCTGGGTTTTTGACGTGTGTGTGTAGCTGTGTGTGTGTCTCTCTCTGTGAGACTGAGTGTGTATCCCATGGGAAAACAAAACTGGGTTGTCTGTGTTAGCTTAGCGTGTTGTTGCAGAGCGATGCATTTACATCCGTTATTGCTTCGGACCCATCTGCCTTTCTTCCTCTCTCTCTCTCTGTTGGATCGCCTGAGTGCATCCACGCTCAGAGTGGTTTTAGGATGATCCCCATTCCCAAGATTTTGGGTGAATCTCTTAGTGTAAATATGGTCATATGGATGAGAGGGAGAAACAAGCTAGAAACCCCTTCTGTCAGTTTTCACTCATCCCTTAGAACTAAGTACAGAGCTATGATCAGTTTTGTGCCACTCCAAATTTTTATGGCGTTTATATATTTATGTATATATAGTTTCATTTATTGTTGGGGAAATAACAATAGATTATTGGGGAAATAAATAGATTGTTGGGGAAATAAAACCCAACCCAGGTTGGATTCCTTCAGACCCCAACCTGAGCCAGCCTTGACCCCTGTAGCTGTTTTGATTTTGAAGAGATTTTCCGGTGTTTCAACCAGATGAATGATTGACAGCATTAAAGCCCGCCTTCTAGCTGTGATTGGTTGTTTCTAGTTAGTGCTGGGCGGACTGGGAGAGGGCAGAGGAGCTTGATGTTTTCAGAGATTATGTGTGTCAAACGGTTCCTGTCACAACACAGGGACCGTTTTGGGAAAATATGC